ATTATCATGTGCCACAGAAATAACCATATTTCCTTGTCAATTATATCTATAACCATGGAAGACTTTTGTCATCCACAGGCAATTATTGTTTTATTTTTATTCTTCTCAAAAAGCAGTTTATACTTAGGTACAGTCCAAAATTTACTTCCCCTTTAAGGAAATTCATAAAAAGGACTCTTATGAGTACTCTTAAATACAGGTTTCTCATAACTTTCGGGTTGGGTCTTCATTCCGAAGGATCCCATGTATACACATTAAATAAATTTGCATGCCTTCTCTCCTATTACTCAATCTGCCTGATGTCAGTGATTTTCCACAAGCCTCCAAGGGAACAAGGGCCTTGGCCTCCACACCCACAAAACATGACCGGTGACTCTGTTGCTGCACATTTAGATTGTGTCCAATTTTTGTCTATTTGAAAGAATGCTGAAATATACAACTTCCTAACAGTTTTTTTAAATACATAGTTATTTCTTTAGGATAAATTATGAAAAGTAAAACAGTTTGGTAAAAGTTTTATAAATTATATAAAATGTTGTAAATTATAAAACTGCCCTATTAAAAGATTATATCATTCTGTAATTTCACCAGAAATATAAGAAATAGATACCATGTTCAGTAGTGTTTATTTTAACCTTTACTAATTTGATGGGTAAAAAACAATCTCTTAAGTCTACTTCACATTTTTTAGTTACTAATAAAGGGTCAACATTTTCATAGGTGTATTGTCTTTTTATGAATTTTTATGTTTCAAACCTTTTACCCATTTTTCTATTGATTTTTTTTTCCTCAGTGGATTACATAAGTATTTGCCATATTAAGAAAATTTACTATTTCTTCTCTTTTGTATGTTGCAAATATTTTCCTACTTGTGCTCTAATTTTATGGTGCTTGATCAGACCACATACAAAGTTAAAGCTGTAATACATTAATATTCTCCTTTATGGCTTCTGCCTCTTGATATATGATCATTTTAAAATATATTTTTTCTAAATTTCTTTCAGGTCATGTTCATATGTAAATATCTTCAAGCTAATTTAGAAAATTAAACTAGATACAGGTTAATTATCCTCCAGGGACAGATATCACAAGATACTGGCTTCTATTTCCCCCAACTAAAACTTACTGGCAGAATGCCAACATAACTAAAAGGAGGAGAGAAACATATGCCCTTAGCAAGTGACATCCAGTATTGCCGTTCAAATGAATTGGGGTAATTTCCCTAGCCTGAATAAATTTGAATTCAGTAGCTCTATACATTTTAATTCCTCACATTGCCACACTTCTGACTATCTCAGGCAAACATCTTTCACATTCATCATTACAATCAATGTTCAATTTGACATTGTGAGATAGGAACAATAGGCATCAATTCCCCTTTGTACAGATCACAAAACCAAGGCTCAGAAACAATAATATTTGATCCAGCCAAGATTCTTCAACCACTACAGGCTGCAATGTATGGAATGTAGGTCTTCCAGACTCCTGGTCTAACGTTCTTTCTACTATACTGTGAGAGTTCTCCAAGTAAGAATGGAGAAGTAGCTATGTAAGAGAAGGAAACAGAGGAGTAAAGATGTAGAGAGGACATATCTCCTGGGAAAAAAAATATACATATTTCTATTATCCCATTCTTACTTTCTACCTGTCTTATAGCTAATTTTGTTAATGAAGAAACTCTGCCTTTGCAAATTAGCAAATTAATTAATATAACTGATCTTGATAAAACATTTTGTTAATACTATCTAGCTTAATCCTCAAAAAAGCAAGAACAAAATTCATAAAAACTGAATCTATTATTTCTAAAATGTATGTGATTTTGGTAATAGGGTGAAGTAAAATATTACTAGGTCTGGTGTCTTTTTTTGACACCAATCAATTCTCTGATTCTCCAACACTAATGAGTATCCAACAATTAAATTCGGTCTGACACTAACTACCCAGAGTTAGCGCAGACCCCACAGGCTAAAGGCTCAGTCCCACAAGACTGCACCCTCTTCAGACACCAGACACAAACTGGGTACCAAGGCTACCCACACTTCTACCTGGCCAGCTAGAAATTTGGGAGTTCTGTCAAAGAAAAGCCAGAGCTAGACAGTGGCTAAAGTGGACAGATTTTAATAGCTAGACGGATTTTAATCAGGAAAAAGAAATCTCGGTATAGAACTGGGCCCAGTTATGACTGCAGCATGGACAAGTGGGGATTCATAGACAGGGAGCATGGTGGAGAGTCAGTGCATGAGAAATTACTAAGAGGAAACATCAAGGGGAAGGGGGATGGACTGACCTAACAAGAGTCTTAGTGAAAGCGGAGAAGGATGATCAGGTATCATTTGGGGATGGTGGAGGATGAGGACTTTGATCAGATATTGAGCATGATCAGATATGGAGGATGGGGATTCTGTCTCAACTGACTTAACAGGGTTCTTGCTGCAACTGGACTCCTAAGGACAAGGTCCAGGAGGAGGCCTAGGCAGAAAAGGGCTCAGAAAAACCTGTCCAGAGTTTGGTCAAGGAGATAGTTTTTGTTAGTTCCTACAAAACCCTCCCAGGTTCAATAATTCAGGAGAACAATTCACAGAACTCAGGAAAGTGCCTGACTTACTAATACCAGTCTATTATAAAAGATACAACTCAGGAATAGCCAAATAAAAGAGATGCATAGGGCAAGGTAGGGGGGTCGTGGAGCCTCCATGCCCTCTCCTGGCAGGCCACCTTCCCAGCATGCTGATGGGCTCACCAACCCAGAAAGTCCCCAAACCCCAGGGGTTTTATGGAGGTTGCATTACATAGGCATGGTTGATGAGATCACTGGCCACTAGTGATTAACTCAGTCTTCAGTCCCTCTCCCCAACCCTTAGGTCTAAGAGGGGGACTGAAAGTTCATACTGTCCCATCGCATGATTGGTTCCTCTGACTGCCAGCCCCCACCCTGAAACCATCTAGGGCCCATCAATATAGTTACCTCATTAGCATAAACTCAGGTTTGGTTGAAAGTGGCTCATTATAAAATAATAGAAGATAATCCTATCACTCAGGAAATTCCAAGGGTTTTAGGAGCTCTGTGCTAATAACTGGAAACAAAGACCAAATATATATTTTATTATATCACACCACGACAGACATGGGAAGGGGAAAGGCATAGGAGAAGTAATTTAGAAGAAAATTCTAGTCATGTATAGAATTGATGGGGTTTAGTACATGCTACCCTAAAATACAGCACCCTGGCATTTGAGAAAACAGCAGAAGCAGAAAGGTCTCCCTGACCTTCTCCTATCTCTTCTCCCCTAAAGCAAGTCATAAAACCTAGAAAAGATTTTCTGACCTTCCCCTAAAGCAGGTCATAAGACCCTCATTCAAGAGACCCTGATGTGAGAGGTGCCCTCCCTATATCCAGAAGAAAGGAGCCCAAGACACAGAGATGCCAAGAAGAATCTGAACTAACAGGCCTTGCTAAGTTCTCCCCAGTTTACCACCAATAGATCAAACCCTTCTGTCCTCCAATCATATTTCTCCATGATTGTCTACTCTTCATCAAGCCTAACATAAAAAATATACAGATTTACCTGTTTCTTTGGATCTTGCATGATATATTCATATAATGGTATATTATTTGGCAACAAGGAGAAGTGAAGTACTGATAATGCCACAGCATGGATGAACCTTGAAAATATTATGCTAAATGAAAGAAGCCAATCACAAAGGCTCATATTATACAATTCTCTTTATATAAAATGTCTAGAATAGGCAGTTCAATAGAGATAGTGGTCATCAGGGTCTGGTGGGGAAGAGAAATAAGGAATGACTGCTAACGGGTATGGGGTTATTCTTGGGATGCTGAAAATGTACTGAAATTAGATAGTGGTGATGGTTGCACAACTCTGTTAACACACTAAAAACCATTAAATTGTACACTTTAAAAGGGTAAATTTCATGGTATGTAAATTATATCTCAACAAAGCTGTTATTTAAGAAAAAACCAAAGTGTTCAAAGACAGGGTAGAAGTGTTCAAACACAGGATGCCGATTATTTGTGTGGGTACTACAGAAAGAATTCTTTCTACTGACTGTATAATAAAGTCCAAATATTTAATGATTCTTTACAGTTTCAACAGAGCTAAATGCCTTTGACTTAAAATGGATAAAAAGATGAGTAGCTCTTTATATTAAGACAATTAGTCCATAAATGTAAAGAAAATTAAAAGTAAACCTTATCAACTACAGCAAAACCAAAAGCCTCCTCTCAAAAAAGTCTAAGATAAAAGGTTAAAAAAACTTTAACAAAATATTCATTTATTCCTCTACTTTAGTGAGAAACAGAGTTTGAGGTGATATTTAAAAAAGGAGTATGAGAAGAATAGCTTTGTGACCACAATTCAGCCTATATAATATTAAAACAAAGGCATCTTATTTTAAATATATTTAGAGATTTCCTTTTTTAATAAGGAACGAATTTACTTAGTTTTTTCACATGATCAAATGTCAATTTCCTATCATAATTATCAATGGCCTACTATAATGCTAGTTAAGAGTTATATCATAGTTAAATACCTAGGTATATTATTAGTATAAATATAAATTTATATTTTAAATATAAATAAATTTATTTGAATATAAATTTATATTTATGCTAATATAAAGGTGAAGTATAAATTTATACTAATATTATTAACACTTTATAGTATTATGAAAAACATTACCATTGCATCTAAAATGAAACACAATAACTGACATTCATTTTTGTGTGGGAAAATATGCATATCGATACTCCATATATTTAAGGTAAAAAATTGAATAAGCCAGTGTTCAATTTAATACTTCTTCTCTTAAAAGCTGCTGGAAACAGTTTTAAATTACTCATAGATGAGATTTTTGTCAACTTGTGATATTTACCCCATTTTCCTAGATTTAAAGTATACCTACATCCAACCCCAAAAGAAAGCCATGCATCTTTCACAAGTATTTTTAAGTAAACATTCAATTTAATAGTCTGATGATACCTTTTGTTCCACCTTCAAAAATTGAGCCAGTTCTTCTACAGTTAGGTGATCTTTCTTGTCACTGTAGCTCAGAAGCAACAAATAAAGGTCTCGTCTCAAAGACATCATTTTGTAAAAAACACAAAACTCTTCAAATGTCAGAGTTCCCTGATTCTCATCTGTGTCGGCTTCCTGAAAAGGGCATAGAAAAAGCAAGGCAGTAAGAGAGTTTAAAATAGGAAATTCAGTATTGGGAAATCATATTTACTACAAAAGAACTAGTACACAAATCACAAGTGGTGAGCACACATGCTCTTCAAGCACACATGAAACATTATAAAAATTGACTACATATTAGGCCACAAAGAAAGTTTCAACAAATTTTTCAAAATCAACCTTACATAAACCAATTTCTCTGACCACGATAAATTTATAAATCAACAAAGAAAGCTAAAAAAAAAAGACCTGTAGAAACAATATAATACATTTCTAAATAGGAAAAAAAAATACATAGAAGTAAACAAATAACGCTACATATTAAAACTTGTATAATAAATTTAAAGTAGTAATAAGAAAGAAACTTGAAGTTTTAAATGTATTAGAAAACAAAGTAGATTTAGAACAGAAGTTAATAACTCTAAACGCTAGAAAAAAAAATTAAGCCAAAGGAAATAGAAGGAAATAAATTACAAACAAAACCAGAAAGCAATGAAATAGAAAACAGATAGATATAACACAAAGATGAGCAAGAAAACCAAAGGCTGATTTTTGAAGAAACTAATGAAAAAGAGAAATCTTGAACAAGACCAATCAAGAACAAAAGAGAGAAGATACATTTAACACATGATAGAAATACCAGTTTCTCATCAGTTTCTGAACTGTAATCCAATCAAATGTAATTTTTACCTATAAAAGAATCTCTCTTAATTCTTCAAGGGTAGATCTGATGCTCTGTAGGCATCAGCATCATTGGTACCTCCCTGCTTTTCCTCCATAGAAAAGTCTGAATAATCCATCTGGACTAATTTGTACTTGAAATTACTTGTTTGTTTCTAGCAATTACTGAGTAAGAATCTTTTACCATGTACCTGATTGACTGAATTTGTCATAAAACCATAAAACTATTTGAGATACATAATGAATAAATGACCCATTTACATGATCTTCTTCATTCTAAATAAACACAGTTGTAACCAAACAAAAGCTGATAGGGAATGAATGGCATTTTGAAATGCATAGATTTTGTGAAGTACAATCAGTTGTTAAGCAGTGTTAAACATAGCTTTGAAAGTCAAAGTGCTCAGTAAAAATTTTTTTACAAAAACTTTGCTAACTTTTGGTCAATTATGAGCAAACACTGACAAATATTTAAAGCTTACATAGTTTCTATGTGAGGCTGATCACTGTTGCCTCTGTCATTTTAAAGATAGAGGCAGATTGGACTGGAATATCAGCACTTCCAATGTGTGAGGCTCTTAGAGAGTCTATGCATCCTAAGAAAGTGGGCCGAATGTCCAAATTCTTGCCATAACTTTGTTTCAAAATATCTAATCCTGGACACAGAAATGAAACATTTTTCAAGACTTCCATATAAATGGCTAATACAATTAAGAAGAGTAAATCTCAGGTTTTTTTATACCTCAAAAGATTACTTTTAAAAAAAAGCTGTTGAATGTTCTACCTCAACAAAAAGCAAAGAAAAGGAAAAGAAAACTCTAGGAAGGCTTTAATGTCTTTACCAGCAATACAGTCAAAAGAATGAATGTTCCTAAAATAATATTAAGATCCTTGGTCCTACCACTCTCACCATGAGCATTTCTAGAACTCTGCTAGGCACAAAGCCCACGATGGACATGATATTTATGCAGCAGGTACAACTACTTAGCCAGTCACTTCTGGCTTAATAAGTTTTAAATTTAAGGTCAAAAAAAGAGGCTCTTAATGTTGTCTTAAAATTTGTCTAGGCCAGGCGCAGAGGCTCACGCCTGTAATCCTAGCACTCTGGGAGGCCGAGGCAGGTGGATCGTTTGAGCTCAGGAGTTCGAGACCAGCCTGAGCAAGAGCGAGACCCCGTCTTTACCAAAAATAGAAAGAAATTAATTGGACAGCTAAAAATATATAGAAAAAATTAGCCGGGCATGGTGGCGCATGCCTGTAGTCCCAGTTACTCAGGAGGCTGAGGCAGTAGGATCGCTTGAGCCCAGGAGTTTGAGGTTGCTGTGAGCTAGGCTGACGCCACGGCATTCTAGCCTGCGCAACAGAGCAAGACTCTGTCTCAAAAAAAAAAAAATAATAACTTGTCTAAAGGATTTACTTTGAACCCATAAGCCACTTGACATAAACATTTCCTGATTTACCCTCTAAAATACTAGGTGCATTAGAGATAAACAAGTGTCTGAATAAGGAAAAAAATAGAAGTAAAAATAGTTCAATAACTCATGTTACTTCCTTATCTTCCAAAAGTACCCCCAAGATCATATTTTTATAGGTACAGACTTTGCCCTCCTCCTTAAGCTTGGCCTCTCACACAGAATCAGCAGCTACCTCTTCAGTACTGTGAACAGCGCCTACGTGAAGAAACAGATGGGAGCTGGGCTCACAACAAGGCAAAGAGGAGACGACAGAGGGAATACCAGGAACGTGGCAAACTTTACCGTATAGTTTAAAGAAAATCCACTCTACTTGTGACAACTCATTTCCCCTCCAAAGTCTCTTACTCCATCTCTGGGGTTCCCTATATAGCTATCTCATTCCTTCGTCCTCTTTCTCTTCTCTCATGTTCTCCAATGCAATGGGACCCAGTTCCCCACAATGCAAACCATTTCCAACCACAAACAGGACAACCTTAAGGGGTCACAGAACAGAGCCAGCTTCTGTCTTCCATCCATTGTTGTTACCCATACCCCATGCTGTTTCTATTCTTACCATGTCTAAGAACAAGTGGTTAGAAAACAAAGGAAGCACAAAGCATTAAACATCATCTTGCCCTCCTGTGCTTATCTTTAAATGTGTGAAGTAACACCTACCTAGTCACTTAGAATAGAAAATCATTGCAAAATATGGAGTATGCATATGACTTATTTCCAAATAAGAGCCTTTTATAAGTTAATATTCTACAAATTTCTAATAGTCTAACATTGTCTTTACCCAGACTTAAACTTAATAGAGCTCACTTCTGTACCTTAGACTGAAAACTAAATACAGTCCCAGCTGGATGCCACAGAATAGGTCTGGGCCCAAGGATTTCCCTCAAAGACTTATCAACAGGGAAAGAGCATTTCATTTAACACCTACAAGCAGTTGAATGAACTTCTGGAGAGCTCCCTGAATGGTCAGAGTAATTAGCACTTCTAAGCCTAATGGACTGTAAATCTTACACTCAGAAACAAAATAGACAGCTCTTGGGGTCCTAGACAAGTGCTATTTTTTTATCATGTCTCTTAGTTTTTTTTTTTTTTTTTTGAGACAGAGTCTCACTGTGTTGCCTGGGCTAGAGTGCCATGGCATCATCCTAGCTCACAGCAACCTCAAACTCCTGGGCTCAAGCGATCCTCCTGCCTCAGCCTCCCGAGTAGCTGGGACTACAGGCATGCGCCACCATGCCCGGCTCATTTTTTCTATATATTTTTAGTTGTCCAATTAATTTCTTTCTATTTTTAGTAGAGACGGGGTCTCGCTCTTGCTCAGGCTGGTCTCGAACTCCTGAGCTCAAACAATCCGCCCGCCTCGGCCTCCCAGAGTGCTAGAATTACAGGTGTGAGCCACCACGCCCGGCCATTTTTATCATGTCTCTTAGTCTTTATTCTGATCCTTGCAATGGCCCTGTGAGGTAGGCAGATGAGATATTATTGTCCTCTCAAAGGGACTTGATCGAGTTTACTCCATTATTTCAGTGTCATAAAAAGTGCCTATAATTACTTTCTGAAAACAGCAACAATAACAAAAATGCTTTTTTAGGAAGTGAAATTTTGGATACATGTTAATTTATGAAATTTTTTTTCTTTGATGAAACAAACTGCCTCTCTTAAGGCCAAATTTAATGTATGAATAAGTCAGTGTGTATTAAAATGATTATCAGCATATTATGGAGCTTTTAGGTTCTGGCTAGAAACGTAATACATATGCAGGAGGGCTCCCAAAATACCTCTTCCTTTTCAAGAAACAAAAACCCACCTCCTTCCCTGCCCCTCCAGCCATGACCTCTGACAACCACTAATCTGTTCTCTATTTCCATAATTTAGATATTTCAAGATGTCATATAAGTGGAATCATACAGAATGTAAAATATTGGGATTGGCTTATTTCATTCAGCATAATTCTCTGGAGATTCATGCAGGTTTTGCGTGTATCGATATAAGTCATTCTTTTTTATTGCTAAGTAGTATTCTATGGTATGCATGTACCACAGGTGGTTTAACCATTCATCCTTTGAAGATACCTGGGTTGTTTCCAGTATTTGTCTGTTATGAATAAAGCTGCTATAAACATTTGTGTACAAAAACAATGCCTCTCTTCATTAAAGAAAAATAAAACAGTACAGAGCATGTAATACTAGCTTCCAATGAAACAAAATAACTTTTTAATATGGCTAAGTATATCAATAACCTCTGTATATTTTATATAAGGCCAATGCAATTGTGAAAACTTACCTGAAACATTTGTCTGACTTTTCTTCGGGGCAGATTAACATTTAGTTTATGCATCAGTTGGTGTATCTCCTCAATATTCAATAAGCCATCACCATTTTTATCGGCTTCCTCAAAGGTCTGTTTCACCCACATGCAGAAAGGTCAAAGAAAATACTTGTGTTTTCATCAAAATAAAAACTGATCTCTCACAGAATACTCACAAGGATATTTGTCAGTAACACAGAACTTGAAATTCTTTTGAGAAGGCTCTGCAACCCACAGGTTCTGATAAGCTACTAGTAGTGACAACAACAAAAAAAATTAGAAAGGTGGCAGGGAGGCCATGTACAGGTGATTCCCTCCACTGTGAAATGAAAGTTGGCCATATTATTTTGAGAGATTCTTTAATTCAAACATTATTTAATCTTATCCAAATTAAATATTAAATCTATTATTGAAAAAATACTACATTTTATCAATTGTCAGAGAAAAAAACTATATTGCTGGTTCTAATTCCACTCTAACAAGAAGACAACACCTTAATTCATATCTTCATTAGCAAACTCTATAAAAATAAAATATTTCTATGTGACTTTATACATTATCTCTTTTTATTTCTCATTTCCTGACCAGTTTTTCTCAATTATGCTGCCATGTTCATAACACAAATCTTGTGTCCCTCACAAGATTCTCACTTATAAAGTTAGCATTCTTTATTTATGAGGCATGTAGATGTCATGTACCGGGAATGATCCGGTTTTGAAGCTCTCAAACACTTTCTGCTAAAGAATCTCTTTATGATGAAACCCAAAATATAGCAAATTTAGACCTTATCTTCCCCTATGCCTGTTCACCTAGTATCTTTTTTTTCTTTTTTTTTTTATGAAGCAGAGTCTCACTCTTTTTGCCCAGGCTAGAGTGAGTGCCGTGGCGTCAGCCTAGCTCACAGCAACCTCAAACTCCTGGGCTCAAGCGATCCTTCTGCCTCAGCCTCCCGAGTAGCTGGGACTACAGGCATGCGCCACCATGCCCGGCTCATTTTTTCTATATATTTTTAGTTGTCCAATTAATTTCTTTCTATTTTTAGTAGAGACGGGGTCTCGCTCTTGCTCAGGCTGGTTTCGAATTCCTGAACTCAAACAATCCACCTGCCTCGGCCTCCCAGAGAGCTAGGATTACAGGCGTGAGCCACCGCGCCCGGCCCACCCAGTATCTTTTTACCTTCACAATACCCCATGGTATATGATCTTTTCAATTCTCTTTTCTCAGTCCCATTCCTACATCTAGAAAATTAGACCCTCATTTTCAGTCCCATCATTGTTCAGATAAGGATGTAAAATGAAATGAGAGGGAGAAATTTGTAACAATTAGTAAGAAAATCAGGTCTCAAAACCAGGTCTCTTGCATTCTAATCTAGCATTCTTTTCTCCCATACATGAGGCCTGTCTCTGTACTACATTCCTCTCCCTATTACTAGCTTTGATTGTCTCCACCTAACGGAACAGGCCCAGACTTCCATACCCAGGAAAGTTATATGAAGTACAAGCCCGATATGCTAGGGGTACCCTCCAAGCTCAGGTATGAGACTAGGTAATTGAGAATACGAAGCTGAGTTTCAATGTGAAATATTTACATCATATGAACTGAAAATTGTAAAGATGCTCAGTGGGATGAGCTTTGAGTAGTTTTATATAACGGGAATGCAGAATAAATGGTAATAAATAGGTGAGTTGAAAATTCCCAGTTAACTTTTAGCAAAGGATTTTTTTTAATAGATGATTCATAAGTGTTGAGGGGTAGGTTACAGAAGGCAGGAATTGTGTGTATACTTAGAAAATCAGATTGAGCTTCAGAGTGTGAAGGGTAATGAAGACGAAAAGAATAAGGTGATGGGAAGAAACCAGAGAATCAAAGTAAGGGAAAAGTGTAGGTTTAAAGCCAAGACATGTGAGAATAAAGGTACATCAGAGGAGAGGGGCAATGAACAATATTTGCTTATCAAACAGGTGACATCAACTGAGAGATTTTCATTTTAAGTGAAAATATGAATTAACCTTCCCGCGGTAACACAGCATACTTGCGCTTCTTAGGTGATTCAAATTATGCCTGTAGGAGATAGTACCCTAGAAAGCAAAAACCACCAGAAAGGTAAAGTCTTACTCCTTCTAAAATTAAATAGAGGTGGTTTTCTGATTGTAAATACCTTCTTTCACATTTTATTCCCTTTAAAAGATTTTAAAATAACCAGCCCAGCTCTTTCAATTTCAATTTTTCCTCATAAATTTCAGTCAGCACCTCATTATACATGACACCTGGAAGTTAAAGGGACAACCACACCTAGGGAAAAAATAACTGAAGAATCAAAAGTATCAAAGATTTGGGCCAGTTATTAATAAGTACCTGAATCTCATTTTTTAGTTTTCTGGATGCACAGCGCCCACATGGTGAGCTCCATTTCTTTTGACTGTCGACACTGCTCTGTGCCCCACAAAGTACTTGGCTAGAGTTCAAAGAAGTGGTGAAATGAGTCCAATGACAGCAATAGTTTCATCCTTTCATTCTGTAATTCTTTACCAAAGCCTCTCATAGACTTCTCCAGAGAAGAGACAGTGACAGCCAAGCCCTAAGTTTGCGGGTGGATATTCTGCAAATACAAACCCTTTAGGATGGGCCTGTGTCAGCAGGGTCTTTAGCACCAACACGTAACTGGCCTTGACAATTGGATTAGGAGACATGGGACTGGTAAGGCAGAAATAGAGGTGGAATCAAACACTAGTCCTAATTCTACTACTAACCTCGGCCTATGACAGTGGGTCACTCATGTCACCTCTTGGAGCCTTTCTTTCTTCATTTACAATGTCAAGGAGGATGACTTTTAACCTTGAAATGCCTTCTGAGATTCCATGAATGGAAAAACCATTCTTTCCAGTAATGGTACTCTCAGTATACAATCACAGGGAAAAATATTCTGACATCTTAAAGCTGTTCTTCATAATTTAGATATGAGTGCCCCGTAAAGCCCTGAATTAATAATTCAGAGCCATATACATAATAATTCTAAGAAAAGAAACAGTCATTCCACAGAGAAAATCTGAGAGAGTCAAACTGAATGAAAAGTAATGGTCTAGTATTTTCTATCAAGAAACTGTAGAAGAATGGAAAGCATTAAATAGTATTACCTAGTCAGGACTGGGCAAACTTTTCTGTAAAGGGCCTAATAGTAAATATTTTAAGTTTGCAGGCCGTGTGACCTCAGTTATAACTACTCCAGGCCTCCATTATCATGAGAAAGCAGCCATACAGACAAAACATAAATGAATGAGCATGGTTGTGTACCAACACAATTTTATTTATGAACACTGAAATCTGAACTTCAGATAATTTTCACATGTCACAAAATGTTACTCTTTTGATATTTTTCAACCATTTAAAACTCATTCTTAGCTCAGGAGCCCATAAAAATTAGGTGGCAGGCCATATTTATCCCGCAGTTTGAAGGAAAGGAGTAAGATTTTAATTTACAACGTACACAAGGGACTGCCTAAAGTCTGCTAGGTTATAATTTCCCTCATGGATTTAAGAGATAAAGTGAAGAAAACATAAAGGAGAGTGGTCTGAATGGAGAAAAATGCCAAGCCTAGGTGGCAGTAGCATCATTTGTACACGATGGAGCCACCAAGATTTCAGACTTTATCTGAATAGGAAAAGAAAAGATTTGCCATGCTTTACCGCTCTTTAGCAATAACAACAGTAGCTACGATTTATAAGGTGCTTACTATGTGCTGGGCAGTGTTCCAAGGACTTAGTGTTTATCCACTCGTTTGATCTTCACACGCCTCCACAGGATGGGCGCTATCATTATCATCATTGCCACATTACAGAAAAAAGACTCTGAGGTGAAAGAGTCTAAGTGATTCAACCAAACTTACACAGTACATGGCAGAGTCTGAGTCCTTACCTGTGATGCTGTATTTCTCCTAACAGGTCTGAGTATTACATCTACCTCTACTCGACATGGTCATACTGCAGAAATAATCTACACTTTAGGCTGGATGGATTTTCTCATATAGCCATTTAAGATTCATTATTCTCATTATTCATTCACAGTTGAAATGTTCAGTTGTAAATGAAATCTAATAATCATCCCAAATCTGTTCTCCTCAATTAATGTAATTAAATGTTTGTCCAATCAAGAATGTTATTCTGTTAAGATATTATCCAAAACTCTATCAAATTCTGACAAATCTGTATGAGAATGAGTCCCTGACTCAACATAACTTTCCCTTTTTTGAATTCAGCCTCCTCCTTACTAACTATTCACTAATTTCTTCTTTCTTTTTTTACCCCTTCACTGATTCAAAAGATCAACTGATTCTACATTTCATATAAAATTGTTCCTCTTTGCAGTTCTGCAGTACATTTGCATTCCATTATTTTTCAGAGAGCATATTTTCAGAATATGAATCTCTCAGAATATGAAAACTTTCAAGTACCAGTAAACGTGGAAAAATCAGGTCCAAAAAATTACTGACCAATAAAGCAAAAAGAGGCTTCTACAATGTCTGCCCCTCTCCCTCTAGTGTCTTTCAAGGATTAGGAGAGAGACTTATACAATGACTAAAATTTCTAGAATATTGTAAATGCATCCTACTTAACTGGGTAAGGATAGCAGGTTCTGGACCTGATTGTCACCCCTACAGCCATTGCCCGCCCTTCTTCCTTACTAAAACAACCTCAATTTTGTTCAGGTATCCAAAAGTCATGTATTTTAAGGGTGGGTGGGAACAGAAGGCAGAGAGGTAAGGCTTGGTTCAAATACAGTTTTCCCCAAAGTACAGTCCTGGGGTCCCAGTTAGCATGAGGTCCCTCCCTTTCCATCTACGTATCTGTGTGAGGCTAGATTTTCTTCACATATTTCAACCAAAACAACACCTCACAACAGACTGCAGACTGGAGACTTATAAAGCAGTGAAGCAATACTACTCTTCTAATTTGTTTTGCTTTGAAAAATATAGCTATTTTTCATAAAAATATGTTAACATATAATAGAGTTTATTGTGATTTTAAAAGAATTAACAATTTTTAAATTTGCATATTTAATCTCTAATACAATAAATACCAACAGATTGACTCCACATAAACAAAAGCTCTTTGGAATTTTCAGTTTTTAAGAGTGAAAAAAATGGTTCTGAGATCAAAGTCTAATCACGTCAATTAATGTCTCTTGCAAGAGACTGGTTTCGGAATGGGCCTGCAATAGTAATTCTGGCCAATGGTGAGAGGTCATCTCTTGGTGGACTTCTGAGAAGTTTTTCTTTTCTCTTAAGCAAAAGATTTGCCAGAAGGAACTTTGCTACCTCTGGGCAGGGTTGTTTAGAGCTACCGCCTGAAGTTGCTACAACCCTCTTTGACCAAAGGACAGCCAGCTGTAGGGCCAAGCCAAGAAGCTAAGAATGGCAGAATCTGGGTCTCTGATGACATCGCTGAACCACTGAAATTAACTTAGACCTGGAATTGTCCCTTCTCTGATCTCTCCTTTATGAGAAAATGAGCACTCTTTATTGTTAAAGGCACTATTAAAATGGTTTCTGCCACTTGCACCAGAAAGCATTCTTACCGATTCAGCATTTTTGCTTGTTTGTTTTTTAGCAAATGTTAAAGAGTTAAAAACCAAACTAACAGATTAAAGCACAGAAAGTCAGTTCTTGTGTTTGTTTTTGCTAAAATATGAATCCCAGTTGGCTTTATCAGCATACTGTGAATATTGATGAAAACATCATGGCTCATCAACTCAGATTTTCACACTGTCAGGATCCTTTCAGGGGTCGAATATTTCCATTCTGCTCCAACAACACCTTGTGTGAGGGATTGTAGCTAGAGTAGCACAAATTCATCATCAACTCCTGGAAAAATTTAGGGCATACATCCCAATGACGGCAAGGAAGTAGTACTGCTCCCTACATATATATGGGGCACCTGTATTTTAAGGCAATTCCAAATGTGAAGAAGGAAACCAAATCAGTCAACTGGCCTAACACCCTCACTTTGCAGACAAGGAAATTGAGGCCAGAAGGCCTTGCTGTGTGCCTAGCTTGATCCCACCAGGAAGGATGCCTTCAGACCAAGCACGTTAAACATTTATCTTGTCAGCACTGCGGGACCATGAGAATGGGTTTAAGCAAGAATAAGACTTAGATTCCAGTTTCTCAAGCAATTTATAGAGAGTAAATGTTATTAAGTAAAAAATTATTTCCCCCTCAGTATCAGTCAGTTCAGTTTCCAAACAGTACATTAAAAAGAGAGACAGAAAACGCAGGAAGAAGCTTAGTGCCTGGTACATATTTGGAACTCAAAAAGTATTTGTTAAACTAAGCTGACTATATAACAAAGTAGGATTTTCTCTGATTCAAATCAGCACTTTCCCAGTTACAGCTAATGAGTACTCCTACAATAAAAAAGGCAATGATATTTAATGGGTACCTCATCTCTCTTAGAAAATGTCAGACTGTATTTGAAGATCTCTCAGATTGTGGAGCTAGAGTCAGTCTCTTTAGAAGAATTCTGCTCCTAAGTTCATATAAACTTAAGTTTCTGTGTGTTTTATATATTCATTTACTTGGGGTGAAAGTGAGGAGGGGAGTGAAGTGTGCTAGGGGTGAAGAAAGAGACAGGAAGCAAAATTACGGTAAAAAACAAAGCATAGTCATCCTCACTTCACTCACACACACACACACACACACACACACAGAGCTCAAAATAAAGTTTCTAGGAAGGATATTGGTCATGGGTCCTCTGCCTTTTGGCAAGGGAATCTTCATCACTGATGCCAGCCATCAGGTACTTGAGGCCTGTGATCCAGGTGCGGGCCTCCTCAGGGTTGGAGGTGATGAGGTCCAGGGACTCCATGTGGTTGCCATGGTAGATGGTGAAGCAGCAGCTGGGGTCAAAGTTCCCCTCAGCTTGTCTGTGGAATATTTCCGACTGCCGACCCTCGGTGACTTTGTAAATGGAATCGATAAGTACTGTGAGGGAAGCAAGATGCACAGTTATACGGCAGGCGAGACATTTACTTACATGGATTAAGAAACGAGAGAAGCAAAATCATTTCAAATATTAAAAATAACTATGCAAAAAATCATTATCTGCAAGTTGTGGTTTTAGGTCTAAATGTGAAACACAGGTCCTCTTGTTTCCTGCTAGAAACCTTCTCTACATAACACTTTACCTGCCTCTGCAGTCTTGACAATGTCCTCCCAAGGCAATGATTCAGGATGTGCGGAAATTTATAGTAAAAGGATAGATATGCCCATCAGGGCAAGAAGACTGGCAGAAAAGGTGACTACCGAATATGTCAAATTTATAGTTTACATATTTATGGAGGGAAAAACACACAAAGATCTAGAGCCGACTTTGGTGTTTTGCAACATATATTAGGAGATAGTGAGAAAATTGAAAGGAAAATAATTTACTGGCAACCCCAAATAGCCCAGCTAAACAAGACTGGCCCTCCTAGAGAGAAAGCTACGGGGCTATGATGATGAAGGCAGAGCAGAGCTCGGAGAAGCAGAGAGGAACAAGGTAACAGCTGGGGGAGGTGGGGCAATACAGGAACATAAGGCCCACTCTGGGGACGCTGCATGGGCTGTTTATTCCAGACCAGAAAGCTCAGAGAGAAAATAAGGGGAGATAAAGCTGGAAAGGCAGACAAAGGCTGGATTGTAGAGTGGCTAGAATAACAGAGATTAGTATTAATATTTTTTTTATTTTTTTATTTTTTTTTGAGACAGAGTCTCACTCTGTTGCCCGGGCTAGAGTGCAGTGGCATCAGCCTAGCTCACAGCAACCTCGAATTCCTGGGCTCAAGTGATCCTACTGCCTCAGCCTCCCGAGTAGCTGGGACTACAGGCATGTGCCACCATGCCCGGGTAATTTTTTCTATATATTTTTAGCTGTGCAATTAATTTCTTTCTATTTCTGGTAGAGACGGGGACTCGCTCTTGCTCAGACTGGTCTCGAACTCCTGAGCTCAAACGACCCACCCGCCTTGGCCTCCCAGAGTGCTAGGATTACAGGCGTGAGCCACCGCGCCTGGCCAAGATTAGTATTATTTAGGTAGTGGAGCAACATTGAAGGTTTGAATCAGAGCAGCACTGGCGAGAAGGATAATTTTAGATTGAAATATTATTTTGGTTGTTTATTTTTAAGCATGAATCAGAAGTGTTAACTATGGTATTGATTGCCCATATACACCATCTACTTCTCATTTCTGCCTAATTGGCAGGATCCCAATTTTCTTCTGGTATCCACTCATTCCCCATATGACTCACAGGGAAGTCAGCCTATGCTCACCCCCAGGTTCTCCAGCCCTTGGACTCTGGGATTTGTATCAGTGGCCCCAGGTTCTCAGGCCTCTGATCTTAGATGGAGAATGATATCCTCGGCTCCCTGGGTTCTCAGGCCTTTGCACTCAGACTGAGCTACACCACCAGCTCCTCTGGTTCTCCAGCTTGCAGATGGCCACTGTGGGACTTCTTGGCTTCCATAGTCATGTGAGTGAATTTTCCTAAGAAATTCCCTCTCATATTTCTACCCACTTATCTATCTATTTATACATCCTATTTTGTTTCTCTGGGGAAGCCTGACTAATACAGTGTGGGAGAAAGAAGTTTTAACTAGGAGTCAGATCAAAACTATTTTATTTGATATCATTAAAACCGTGTTGTTAATTCATTAATCACTTAACTGTGGCTCAGAATATGGCAATACACTTTAAAGCCCACTGGATTTATGATGTCTATCATCTTCTATAGGAAAATAAAAAGTCTTGGGCTATAAAACTATATATCCCAACTTAAAAAAAGAAAACCCATCATGTCTTCAACCCAGGGGAAATACTAGCATTTACAGCATTCATGGAAAAGAAAACTTTTGTGGAATTGAATTCCCCAAAGATGGTCATCACTTATTCAGTCTCTCAATATCCAAGATCAGCTAACCCAAAAACATGCAAAAATTTGAAATTTCCACAGATCTGAAGCTTCCACAGAGCCTATCCAGTCTGATCCTTGTATGACTGTGTCAAGCCAAGCAAAGAATTCAAAGGTTTGTTTTACTTTTTGCCTTCTCGCTCTTCCTAGAGGGTCGCCATCGGAGGCGTGTTCGGTGCTCATCCAGGTAGAAGAGTCGGACAAGCCCTTTGGTCCCACGCTTCAGTTTGATCATCTGTGTCCCGGACTGCATGACACTCATGCATCTTTCAACTGCAAAAGAGATGAGAGCACATTAAGCTATCATGCAATGCATGTGCATGCAAGTGTCCAGGCCTTAGAATCGAATAAAACCTCTGATTCACCCCCAAAGACTCCAAGGACCAGAAGACAAATTTCGTATAGGTAATCTGAAAAGAGAGTTAAGGAACTGATTCATCAGGCTAAAGCCAGTAAGAAGCCCTACTGACAGACATAAAATTCTACTTCCAGGTAAATAATGCATTACTGTTTCATTGGGCCATCTTTTGTTCTAATTTTTTTGGTATGAAACCAATGACCATTTGATACTTTGATTTATGCTCTTAAAGCAAGTTCTCAGACATGTTAAATCTTGTGAGTTTTTACATAGCTAGTTGTAAAAGCATCTTATAATGATGTTTTAAAATTCAAGCAACAGAAAAACAAGATTGGCAAAATGGTGACAGTTGTTGATGTTGGATTATGGTTACATGTGGGTTAGTGCTATATATTTGTGTATGTTTGAAAATAGCTAAATAAATATCATTTCTTAAAATGTGATCAGAAAAAAAATCAAATTTTCACAATTGAACATAAAACACTTGCCAATGCATTAAACTACTAAGATTTTCCATCCAGAGGAATAATTTGGCTACTGAATTCAGGTAATATCCAAATCACTTATGTTCTACGTCAAAGCTGTCATTTAAATCCACTCTGCTTTGAAGTGAGCCTTGCTGAAGTACGCATCTGTTGTTTTTGCCTGTTTCCCTTGTTTGGTGACAGTGTCCTACTTCTCCTTTGGAAATACTCCTCTCCATTTCATGTGCTTTGGTGTCAATCACCCCAACTAAGGAATAGGCACCCAAATTATGCTTAGAGCAAATGTGACTCCCTCCCAAGGAACACAAATCCTGAGCAGACCATTAAATGAAAACAGAACCGGGCCATTTCAACAACTGAGAGGCTCCTGGTTCTCCACCCCAAGATGTGACAGTTGTCACAATTCTTATTCTTTCTGAGACTGACAAATGATTCCATTTTCCCCTTGATTCTAGAAGTTATACAATACCCTTCTATATATTCTTTTTTCATTATATCAGTCAGAATGGCTTTTGTTTCACAAAGATCACTGACTTATACACAGGCATACAAATAACCATTAAACCACTCGAAATATCTAGTTTTGAGTAACTTATTAAAAAGCAGTATGCTGTTAGAAACAACGGATAAAAGAAACACAATAAACATTTCAACATCAGACTTCAGCTTTTTTGGCTAAGTATGTTGTCTTTACTAGGAAACATAATCTCATCCATCAGTTTAACATTGTATGCATAGGGTACCCATTCTTTCTGACACGTTGAGTACCACTGGACATAGGATACCCATTATAGTTAACTTCAGCATAACCATCATTACTGTCTACTCCATGAAGAGGCATTCCTTCCTCACAAAAAATCAAGGAGGAATTACATAAATTAAGTATAGTTTCAGAATTTGATACTCCAAGAAAGGTTGTCTTTACTCATTTTATCTGACACATCAAATACCCAAGTAATAAAAATATTGCTTAAGAAAACAAACATGCAAACTTAAAATGTTTAAAGTATAAAACAAAATGTGAGATTTGGTTTCACACAGATAGTAAGTTCACCCGCCACTGAGCACCATTCTTTTAGGCAATTAAATCCATAGATTTGAATTCTCAACAGCCACATTGACCATTTCGTACCAGTAACTGGAGGATAAACAGAAGATAGAGTGTCAGTGTATCAAAGCAAAACCATTAGGTCAAATCAACTAAGCCAAAACTCTCGGAGAAACCTATTAGAACTTCACTGAACACTGACAGTAGGTGACATCAATAAACAAACAGATGTTTTCAGAGCAACTCCTTGTTCCAGGCACAGGGCTATGTCATCAGGTGAAGCAAAGAACAAGGATACTTTGTCTTTGTCCTTAAAGGGTTTAAATTTTAAGAGAATGAAGCATCTAGAAAGATGTTTAATGGCAATTTGGAGGTGTGGTTAAGAGCACAGTCCAGATCTAGCCTGGGCTAGAATTCCTTATCTGCCACTTGCCAGCCGTATGACTTGGGCAAGTTCTGTAACCTCTCTATACCTCTATTTCCTTATCTATAAAGTGGACAAATAGTATTATTTACTTCTTGAATTATGGTGAAGATTGAATGAATTAATTCATGTAAAGTACTGAAAACAGTGCCTGGCACATCCTAAATACTATAAATGGTAGCTATTTGTTATGGACTGAATGAATGTTTATTGCCCCAAAATTCATTGGTGAAGTCCTAACCCCCAAGGTGATGGTATTTGGAGGTGGGGCCTTTGGGAGGTGATTAGGTTTAGATGAGGTCCTAAGAGTGGGGTCCCCATAATGGGATATGTTGTATCCCCCCAATCCCACTTCTCTCTCTCTCTCTCTGTCATGTGAGGATATAGCAAGAAGGCCGCCATCTGAAAGCCAAGAAAAGAGCCCTCATCAGGAACTGAATAGGTTGGCATCTTGAGATCTTGGATTTTTCAGCCTCCAGCACTGTGAGAAATAAATGTCTATTATTTAAACCACCCAGTTTATGGTATTTTGTGATAGCAACCTGAGCTAAGACATTATTATAGTTTTATTATTATTGAAATCTTTAAAAATAAATGCCAAGTTACACGTAAAGACGGAAATACTATGGAAGGCCACAGAAAAGGAAAATACAGTAGGTTGGAATGTGGAGAAACATAGTAATAAGAGAGCATCGATGAAGACTTGGGAGGGCCGGACACAGTGGCTCACGCCTGTAATCCTAGCACTCTGGGAGGCCAAGGCGGGCGGATCGTTTGAGCTCAGCAGTTTGAGACCAGCCTGAGCAAGAGTGAGACCCCATTTCTACCAAAAAAATAGAAACAAATTAGCTGGACAACTAAAAATATATAGAAAAAAATTAGCCGGGCATGGTGGCGCATGCCTGTAGCCCCAGCTACTCGGGAGGCTGAGGCAGAACGATTGCTTAAGCCCAAGAGTTTGAGGTTGCTGTGAGCTAGGCTGATGCCACAGCACTTTAGCTGGGGCAACAGATGAGATTCGTCTCAAAGGAAAAAAAAAAAAAAGACTTGGGGACAGGAAAGGGTAAGAGTAGAGTATGATCAATGAAAAAGGAAAAGATGAGCTTCCATCTTTGGAAGAGTGACTCAAAAGGGAATTAATAGGATATATGCTTCCATGGGCCAGATAAGAGTAAGCTATGGGGCTTGGGGATGCTGGCATAATAAGATTTTAATGCACTGGCAATGAGAGATTCACTAGATATATCTAAGCAAATGATTTGTACATTCACCAATGAATTTTGGGGCATTAAACATTCAGTCCATAACAAATAGCTACTATTTATAGTATTTAGGATGTGCCAGGCACTGTTTTCAATACTTTACATGAATTAATTCATTCAATCTTCACCATAATTCAAGAAGTAAATAATATTATTTGTCCATTTTATAGATAAGGAAATGGAGGTATAGAGAGTTTACAGAACTTGCCCAAGTCATACGGCTGGCAAGTGGCAGATAAGGAATTCTAGCCCAGGCTAGATCTGGACTGTGCCCTTAACCACAACTCCAAATTGCCATTAAACATCTTTCTAGATGTTTCATTCTCTTAGTATTTAAACCCTTTAAGGACAAAGTATCCTTGTTCTTTGTTTCACCTGATGACATAGCCCTGTGCCTGGAACAAGGAGTTGCTCTGTAAATACCTGTTTGCTTATTGATGTGATATATCAATATTTGCTAGATATATCTAAGCAAATGATTGGCTGGATAAAGATATAATTCAAGAAGATGTCTCTTTGGGAAGAAAGAATAAAATAAACTGTTTTAACCTGAGTGGGGAAGCGAATTAACTGTACCATCAGAGATCTGACAGCGAGGACTGCCTCTGTATCTGACACAGTATCCTCTACTTTGTCCACATGCTCCTTCTTTCCCTTTCCCTTTACCTCTTCCGGCTCCTTTTCCTTTCCCTAAAATGGAACTGCTATGGCTATAATAGCTCAACATTTTGACAGGAAAAGCACAGTGATATAAAAGTGGAATCAGTTACTGGAGCTGATAAATACCACGTACCACTTAGCAAGCACCAGCCCATAAAAACCCAAATATTTTAGAAGGTGGAATTCAGTCCTTCAGGGAGGGAGTGTGCTTACACAATATATTAAATATTCATTAGCTCTACACTTATCCCACTGACTCAACCATGGGTATCCCATGGGCTAAGATGCCAACATCATCCCTTGCAGTGGACAAGCATGTATGATTACAATATATACTTGGCAGGGTCAGGGTCTGAAATAATATGCTGCTTAAATTGTTTATATAGCTGCCTTATGCTTTCTCACTGATTGCTCCCTATCCATAGAAAATCCATTTGAATAGAATTAAACTGAAAAACCAAGTCCAATGAAATCTTGACAGTCGTCTAACCCACTTCTTCCTTCCCCAAACCTGATAATAGACAATCCCCTGTAGTTATAAAGCTAACTAGAGAAGCACCCTCAAGCATTCTTTGCAACTCTTTCTGGTGGATAAAAGTCACCAATGATGGAGACAAAATATTCTTCCAGTCTCATCCAAATCACTTATGTGTCAGCATAAGCCAATTTCTTCATGTTCTGCCTCCAGTAGAAATGGTTAACAGCAGTAAAAATCATTCTCCACCCATGCCATATTGGTAGATTCCACAAAAGAGAGTAAGAATGGCTTTACTGCAGGTAAACAAGGGAAGAGTTCCAGTGGATTAGAATAACCTCATCACACACATTTCCGGTGCTAAAGGTTCTCTGAGAAAAGTTTGCAAATACAGGTTACAAATTCACGGAAGCTGCCATTATGTGCGCAATCCCTTTGATTCTACATTATCCTTTATGGTAGCCTTAATATTTCTAGAAAACAAGTTTATTTGACTATGATACAGCAACATACAAGAATATTAAAGGAGAAACATCTACCAGCCTAACAC